TTTGTTTCTTGAATGGCGCTACTGCTGTCTATTTAATTTAACAAACATTAATATGTATTAATGAAAGGTTTTTTTTTCTCTCTCATTTTATTCCGTTCTCTGACTTTCAGGTTCTTCCTAGGTTTAATGGAAAAGGTGAAGTATTTAAAGCACAGATAATGAATGTGAGTTGGTCAGCCGATCATCGCGTTATTGATGGAGCTACAATGGCCCGGTTTTCTAACTTGTGGAAATCTTATTTGGAGAACCCTGCTTCAATGCTGCTAGACCTTAAATAAAGGAAATTATGGCTAGAATATGCCTTTAAACTTTGTGAATTAGACAGAATAAAAGCAGGCTGTGCTAGTCTGTTGCTATTCACAGTATATAATTACTTTATGTGGTTAAAAGTTCTCAGTAACTGATAACAGTCTATCAATTAATTGTTGCATTCTTTTAAATTAAATTACTAATGCTGTAATTTCTTCTACAGCAACCTGTCAAGCTTGATAGGTCATGGTGTGATTTCTAAATATGGTGATGGAAAGTCTTTATTTTGACTTTTATAATATATACGGATGTTAAGCTGATGTAACTGAATGACAGGGATCTACATGTCTGCAGCATTTCAAGTTGATTAACCTGTTTCAAAGGGAAATACTCAGAGTTTTTCCTCATTGGACGCACACATTTATTTTAACAAAGACTGAAAGTTATATCCAAGTTCCTGAAGAAGTTATGCAAAAATCATGTACAAATAAAATGCCTTATATGCTTATGTTTTAAGATGTCCAGAGAGCTTTTTGTTGTTTAATCAAATTAATCTCTCCTTTCATGTCTTTCTCTAGTCCACTTTTTCCTGGAGATGACTTGCACAGGTACTCTTTATCAGGTGCTAAAGGGAAATAGCATATTTACTCAAATGTTACTCACAACATTTACTGACAACCATCAGGACCTTATAAGTACTCTAGAATACCCTGTATATTTATAAGCTGAAAGTAGTTGAGGTCTTTAAATACTTTCCAGTTATTTTTGTTTCTTATAGAAAGCAGCTGTCTGTATAAAACAACAACAAAAAAGGATGACTCCATTTCTTATTCCATCATTAGGTAAGCATGACAGTAAACAGAATGTGTTCTAAAAGCCTGCATCACCTTGTATTAGTGATGTTTGGATATTAGAATTCGACAGATTAATACAACAAAGAAGTAATATCAGCAAAAAATCTGAGATAAGGACTTTTTAAACTAAGATACAAAGCAGATAATGAACAGGTTCCAAGCCTTCAGAACAGATAACAGTTATGGTGCTTTAAATTAAACAGGTGACAAAGACTGCAGTGGTGTTTTAAAAGGAGATACAAAGAAAACTGTTGGTTATAAATACCTTCTAGAAATATAACTTGCAAACAGACTTAGAAGGTTGTGTGGCCTGAATAATTCATTTGGAGGCCTTTTCGCCTTCCTTTAAGAGTATCAAAATCTGTCTCTACAGTAGCATGCACCAAAGTTGAATACCAACGTAGTCTACAGTAGTCTATTGCTGTGAAGATGCAGGACATTAGCACCTGGAGATAGGACCTCTTCTGTCCTTGATGCTGAGACTGGCCAGGAGGAAAGCTGATAGTATAAGGGGAAAGCATACATGTAAACCGCTATTTATATTTCTACTGTGATATAAAAGGTTTTTATTTAAATCATTTCTTGCAAAGTTTGATGAATATGTTGTGCATATCACCTATTTAATTTTTATCAGATTTTTTATTATTAATAAAAGATTTCTAGAATCACAAAGAGTTGTAGTAATAGTCTTTCTATTTGAATTTCATGCAGGTAATTCTGTACAGGTGACTCAGTCTTCCATTTCTTCTTATCTTAAAGAGCCTACTGCACTTGAGACTGTCAAAAGGACAATGCCTAATGGCCACTCTCCTACAATTATGTTGTTGTGGTAAGGGCTTAGTATATTTTTTTAATCTTACAATCATGGAGAAGAAGAACATGAAGCATAAATATATGATAGAAAAGATTAAATGATTTTAAAATATTACACACAGAATTTTTTTTTTGCTATCAGAAATAGCTTGAAACTCACATTGTATCTCAAAACTCCAAAAAAAACCCCAAAGTATTACTTTTTTTTTTTTAAGTTCTGACTCGCTGTCTCTTTCAAGGAGGAATAAATGAAGTAGTTAATTTTTTAATTATGATTATTCAGATTAAGAAAAGCATTGTTTAGAAAACACTATGGAGGTTGAACAAAAATCAAAAGGAGAAATAACTCTACCATGAAGTAGTGTCTCTTTAAATATACATTGGTTTTCAGATAGTTAATAATGACCTAGAGAGCTCTTTTTACTTTCCATTTTAAAGTTCTATGTAGTAATGCTAAAATCTAAGGCAGTACATATCTAAAATAGTAAGGTAAAAACTGACTGAAAACTACTTCTACTAGAATAAATTAGTTTCATTCATCATTCATATGATGAATGAAAATTTTAATTTCAGCATAACATTTTACACTCTTAAGTGTATTCTTGGTTAGAATGATGCAGTTTTATGTCTTCTACTTCAAACTGTGATCTGTGTTTATTGCTATCTCCCTGTTTTCATTGTGGTGAAGGAAAAGATTCTAAGCACCAGAAATAATAACAGTTAAAAGGTATCAAGTCACTTAAATATTTAATGGTGGCTTATTCTAACAGAGCTGGGTTTTTTTCTATTTTGTCTTCTTCAATGGCTCTGAAAGAAAACTAATGTAACACGTTTTATAACTGGGAGTCTGAAAAGGAATAATAACCTCTCTGAACATCTGATGAAGTTTAGTTTTCAATATGGAATTTGCTAATTTGCACTAAAAATCTTCATGACTCCAAAGGCAAAAGAATTGAGTAAAATGCTAACAAAAACTATTTTTCTAGCTTAATCTAATTAATCTATGTTGTTGTTTAATAGAACTTTTATAATACTAACTAACTATTTTTGTGAAGCTCAGTTATCTTGCAGAGGAATGCTGGAAGTGTAAAACAAATAGTTATTTTGGATTCAAAACTAGCTTGTTTAATTTTCATTGCTGAGCAAGGCAAGTATTCTATTGTTCTTTTTGCACACAGTTAGTAACTTTTGTAAGTCCCACAATTTATGGAGTTCCAGTCATGTTCAGCAAACTGGGAAGATGTTAAAAGTGGTAAAAGTTCAGGGGGCTTTGCCAAAGTGCCTCATGTGATACCTTCTATTCTCAGCATGGTTAAAATTAGAACTGGGCTGGTATTACATTGGCGTCTGAGTGCGAGTTCAAAATGGTTTTAGGAGTACAGACAAGATTCATAAGTTACTTCTACTCTTGCCCAGGAAGCACTGAACTACAGAAAATGTTTGAAAATCCCAAATAATTGAGGTAAATTGTTCTTAAATGCTTTAAGATAATTGGTGGGGAAGTTTTGGAGAGATCTAGCTATATGGGAGTAACTTTGCAGTTGTTTGCCAGTTACGCTTGGAAAGTTGCTTCAAATTGTTGGTGTGGTTATTACGGTTTGTTTTGTTGTTTTCATGACAAATCATAAGATATAAGACCAAGAAGCTTTTGATCATAGTCCTGTTATTATATAATTAAATCTCCTTGGAAACAGGAGCCTATGTGTAGGGCCTCATATTTAAGCAGTGTTTATTAAATAAGCAGCATTTTCCTGCAAGAGAGAGCTGCCAATTGTAAGCTAAGTTAAAAGATGGCTGTTTTGATTGTATAGTCCAACATTGTCTTGTGTGATACAATTATCAAAAATAGCTTTTTTGAGATTGGCATGTCATTGTCTCATTTTTATAAAACATATGTTTAAAAAAAAAAAACTACCTTAAAAGGCTTATGTTTAGGAAATGTCTGTGAGCAGTAAGAAAAGATAGATCAGGTAGATCAGTTAGATCTGTAGAAGGTTACTGTGGAATAATAAGCAAATCGAAATTGCAACCCCTAATCAGAGCAAAAAGCTTCACACTGCTTTAGTCATTACTGCTGCATATTGGAATGAGGAATGGGAAAGGATGAGTGCTGAAGGAGAAATGAATCCCTCAGATAACAGCATATAAATGTGATTGCATTTAAGTAGGGGCAGGAAAGAGCATGTGATCATTCTTTACAGGAAAAAAATGGATCCCTTTTTAGGAATGTAAATGCCAGAGTGCATTGTGCCACGGTGTAGATGCTGTTTGTGTCACCTGTCAAGTGCTGCCACTTTCTCTTAACAAAGAGAACAATTAAGAACCATTGATATCAAAGTATTGGACTAGATACTTCTCTAGTCGAGCACTGTAAATTGATTTTATGACATCTTTATAATAGTAAGCAATCCTTACAATATAGATTTCTTATTATTTGCTTGCTTATATTTTTTTACTTAAGTGATTCAATAAAATCAGACTTTGCAGATTACCACCTCAGCAGGAGAAGTGATAAACATAAAATAGAATGCTTACCAGTTTGAACAGAATTGTTCATCAAGCTATTTAAATGCCTTGTTTCTTTATCCGTTGCCCTTGAAAGTTTAATAGCATATATATGGTGGGAAAATAGCCCTAAAAGACAGACTTCTATAAAGGAAATTAATGTAATTAAAATATGGTAACTTATCTCCAGTATAAACTGAAAGTTTCCTTTCCTTATGCTTTCTAATTTATTTTATGCCATTGTTTATATTATTACTTAAACATCTTTGGATGATACTAATAAGTTGGTTTAGTGATCTCCCATGGTGATAAATTCTCTAATTGTTTAATCATTTTATGGAAAATTGACTTTTAAAACTAATTAAACACTATTATTTTATTATGAGAAAATTTAACTAGATGCACTTATCTATTTTGTGAAGAGAAAGTGGTTGGTGAAACTGTCAGCTCTGTACATTAGCTATATTTAATAATATAATCAAGTGGGAATGTAATCAAGAAGGAATGGCAGCTATTTAATTTTCGTATCACTGTTCCCATCTGGTAGCTGATACATGCACCTCCACAGTGGTCCCAAAGCTCATAATCAGACCCTGAGGCTGAATGAGAACATGTAAGAATCATGACTGAAACTGCTGTTTGTGTTGGATCATTCTCTTCTGTGAAGACACTTTGGGAAGTGAGAATACAGAAAATAAATGATGAATTACGTAAAGAAAAGGAATTCAGAGAGAGGTCTGCAGGAAGGTAGGTAAACTGGAAATCCTTAGTATGTGAAAAACTTTGTTACATTATAGAAGCATATAACTGACATTTTCAAACTCCTGGAGGATCTAATTTTGTAATCCTTATGCCAGCAGAATTCCCACTGGTGAAAAGCTATGTTCAGATCTAACAAAGAACTGTGTTCTGTCATAAAAGAAAAAAAATATATGTGTACTAAATCCACTAGGGTATATACTAAGGAACAGTAGCTTATCTTAATGCAGCTACAATAATTTAAATAAAAAATCATTAGTCTTTATAGTCTGCAAATTGCAAGTGATTATTTGAAATACTCTCCACTGAATGTTCAATGTGTTCACTGATGAACCTAGTTAAAAATATATATATTGTAAAATTTCTCTTTAATGTAAGGACCCTAACTAGAGAAGATTGAAATTTTTTTTTTTTTTCTCTCAATGGAGGCCTTAGTGGGTCTTCTTTTTGGTCAGGTATTTTGTGAAATGTGAAGAACAGTTATGCTGAGCTGAAAAATATTAGAATTCCTTTGAATTACTTCAGCCACATGCTATCTTATATCCTGGCCTTCCTTCAGTTAGTAGTATATCTATCACACAGATAAGTAAGTGCTTGCTTTGACATCTGTGAAGGTTATTGTTTCTTTGTTGTTCCAGAAGGTATTGGATGGTAATTATTGACTGTATTCATAGTTGCTCCACTGACAAATCTTCTTTCCTTTGTAGACTAATGCTTGTCTGGGAAGAGAGAGCCACTTTAGCAAAGCTTAAAGAAAAAGTTATTAATGAAGATGGGAAAGCAATTTTAAGGATAGAGGAAGAAGAATGGAAGGTAATGGTAATGGGAAGGAATGTTGCTTGGGTTGAAAATTTGATGCATTAAAAAATATGCTATTTATATTTTTATAATCACAGTTACACTGTTTTTAATCTGTACCTTGCTCACAGTACAACCGAGAGATGCACTGTTGCTGTATTGTTGCTGTGACAGTGTAAAAGCAAACTCATCTTTATTCTCAAATATTAAGTATTGCTTTACAAATATATAGACCAAAAGACTTTTCTTTGTTAGAACTTAATTACATTTTAAAGTATGAGTTTAAGTAAGTAAGTATTAATTTAATTAACACAACAGAACTACTGGAGTATTTCAGTGTGAAAAACCTCTGTGGTAAGATGCATGAAAAGATATCTTAGTGTTATTTTCTCTTTCTAAAAATGAAAGTTAACCAGTAGATTTCCAGAATACTATAATCGTTTCTGATGCATAGGGAAGAATGGGTAACTGTAGATTCAGCAACAGAGAGGAATCTAAAATTTCTTTTGAGCTACACACCTGGTAGCTTCATCAACACGAAAATAAAGAGGCCAGGACCTATGCAGTGAAGAGAATGAAGTCACATTGAGACCAGTGAAAGAGTGATAGCCCCATCCTGCCATACTGTGATGACCCTAGGCCAGGGTACAGAAGCTCTGTTCACTATTAAGAACTAATTCCATACGAGCACTTTAGTTTTTCCATCTTTCTGCTCTCAAATGCTCATTGTATTCCTTAAGAGAATGGAAATATCATTTAATTCACTGTTAAGAGCAAAAGGCTATTTAGAGCTGGTTTTGTGTAAAATAAATAATAATAAAAAAAGTGGTGGGCAAGAAGGCTGAGGTTTTTCAAATTATAACAGTATTGCAGATATCTAAATCCTGCAAGCAAATAGTGGTTTGCTTAAATGTGTGATGAGAATGACCCACACTTGATGAAGCACTTTTTAGAATGTTACCGTATGGCTTGAGAAGAAGTAAGGATTTATTATTTTTAGTACAATACTAAGTATTAATGTTTTAAAACAAAAATCCAACTTAAAGCCTGTTCATATTACATACTAAGACAAATTTCTTCTGATTCATATTTCTTGGCTTAGACACTACCTTCATGCTTGCTGAAACTAATTCATCTCCAGGAATGGCAACTCCACAGAAATAGTTTGCAGACAATACCTCAGTTCATTGGAAGATTTCACAATCTTGTTGTTCTAGATCTCTCACGGAATTCAATCGAAAGTATACCTAAAGAAATTGGTGAGCTGTGCTTTCTTTTATTTTAAGCTGCTTTTCTAAAAAAATCAAGCTTATGCAGACATGACATTTTTTGTGCACCTTTTTTCTCTAACCATCCTACTGTGAAGTTAAAAAACAGATTATGCAAATTTGACAGTGAGATAGCTATATCAAAGACATTGCATTCCTAAAAATATGAAAACACAGATGGCCAGATGGAGGAGACCCATGAGAAGAAAGTTTGTAAACACATCAGATGCTAGACAGAAGAGAGCCCATTTAAGAAAATGATACTAAAACATACTCTGAACTCCCAGTGTGAGTTGTCTACACTTGTAACTCTTCCTGTAGTAGTCTGGTGGAGTGTTGTTCAGTACGAAAAAGTTCCCAAGATCTACCACAAATTTCAGTGCATCTTTTCTTCAGTGAGCACTTGTATAATGGACTCTAAAATAACACAAAACAATTGATCTTTTATTTCAGATATAATAAATATTCAGGTTCATTCTTTCTGATTTGTGCTCTCTGCAGGCCAGCTGACTAGCCTCCAAGAGCTGCTTCTCAGTTACAATAGAATTAAGTCTGTTCCTAAGGAAATAAGTAACTGCATCAGTCTGGAAAGATTGGAACTGGCTGTTAACAGGAATATCTGTGATCTTCCTCTGCAGGTTTGGGAAAGACAGGGTTGTTTTTAAATATGCATTTTGAATTCATCCAAAAAGGATTTGTATTAAAAGTTGTACTCCATGTTTGCAGATTTACTTTAATTCCCTAATTTCACAACTACTCCACAGAAACACATATATGACCAATATTTACATAAATAAACAAACTGAAGCCACATGACTAGGACCTACATATACCTATATATTTAGAGGAGCCAATCTATATTTTGACTAGATAAATGGCTTGGTAGAGCATATCAAGGACAGTGATATGCTTGGTCATTTGTTGAGGCTGAAGGTCTTGGGTGATTTATCCCAGTGGGGATGTGACCCTTTAGGACAGAGAAGTCCTCTTTAAAGTTGAGAATACAAATTCATTCTGCCATCAAACAGTTATAGGTGTCTACCAGGGCTGCTAGTTATGAAAAAAGTTTGTGTAAGTAAATTCACAAAAAGTTGATCTAGCTCTTTTCTGAGAAGATTTCTGAAAAGATGTTGAAAACAAGAAAGAGTAAAAACCCTTGCTCACCTGCTATTGAACTTTAATTTGGTCTGACGTAGATGTGAAGAAGCTCTACATCATAGATACAGAGACACCAAATAGATAATCATTTACTCATCTCAATTTATTTTAAAAACAGTGGTAATAATGGTTGATAGCAGTCAATGATCCACAATGTTGGGTCTAAGCAGTAAAACCTACCAACAAATCTTCAAATGAAAATTATATACTATTAATCCGAATCTAGTATTCACTAAATCCATGTGCATAGTTTTCAGGATATAATGTAGAGCAATAACTTTGAAAATGGCAGCAAATACTTGCCTCTGTCCTAGTGAAGATCGTGGTGATGTGGATACCTGAGCTATATAGTTTTAATTTAGCCTTAATTATACGTACTTGAGTGATATTCAGTGCTTAGATGGTTGGACCAGATTTGCAGTAAAGCATCATTGCATCACTTCAGCAGTATAAGAATGATTCACCAAAGACTGAAGTGTTGCAGTACTGAATCATGTGATCTTAATTTTTAGAATGTCTTGTCATAATCATAACACTAAAACATCTAGGCTCGCTCTAAAAGTTCATAGTCCACATGGTCCATGCCATTTGATCCACAACAAAACTAAATGCTTGATTCATAAAACTTGAATGGAGAATTACTGAAAGTGTAGGAAACACTGAGGAGTTTCTTTATATTCATTTTCTTCTCAGGGTTTGGGGTATACCTATATTGTAGTCATAAATTTCAGCTTCCCATCAGTTCATGAACTCATGCCAGGTAGGAGATAAAGTTCTTCTTTCTGAGCAATTTGAAACCTACTTTACCAGGTGAGTACTGTTATTGTTAGAAAACATCAGCAAATATAACTCAGGAACCATTCAGTTACAATCTCCAGAAGGTTTTTTGTTTGTTTTTAATGCTTTTAAATTGTGTCTTTCAGTAAATCACAGCAGTAATGGACCACTTAAACAAACCTACATTAAATCTTCCTCTCTTTTCAGCTCGGTGATTTAAAGAAACTTTCACATGTGGACCTGTGCATGAATCAATTTACTACCATCCCCTCAGCTCTTCTCAATATGCCATGTCTAGAATGGTTAGATATGGGGGGAAATAAACTCCAGAAGCTTCCTGACACAGTTGACAAGTAAGAAACTCAGCTGTAATATGGTATTTCTGATAAGATGGAATGATCCATTCAATACATAAGTGATCAATTCACTATTGATTATCAAGTTAAATGCTTTTGTTATAGAAATTTTAAGCAAGTAAATTACATCTTTATCAGGGATATATCTTTTTTTTCCTGAAATGTCAGTATACTTTTTGAGACTGTTATGTGACAGTTAAAATTAATCAGTTACTATATCAATGCTTGGTGAGATTAATTTTCTAAATCTATATTGATTGTGGAAATACCTATTACAGAATGGAAAATCTCCATATTGTATGGCTGCAAAGGAATGAGATAAATACTTTGCCAGAAACCATTGGTAATATGAAAAAACTGAGTACCCTTGTTCTCAGCAGCAACAGACTTAAGGATATTCCTGCTTGTATGAAGCATATGACAAATCTGAGGTAAGAACAAACAACAGAAATCCAAATGCAAGTAAAAGAAGTTTTGAAGTCTCACTTGAGTTGTAATGTCACAGAGTGGTACCTAAGGAAGTGGAGATAGAAAAGGTGGTACAGATAGTACAGCTCTATTCAAATCAGTTGTTTCACAAATTCAGTCTCAAATGTCCTCAGGAAACTGTCCTGAAATTTAGGACGGGTAGGCTTTTATTTTCCTGAAGTAGGGTCATGCCCCTGAAGCTTAAATGGAAAAGTAGAAAAGGGTCAAAAACATTATCTTGGGCCCTCTGTAGCAGAGGGCATGAGGGGTGCAGCCAGGCCCCAGTGTGTGTGGAATAGTGGAAGGAGATGGTCCAAAGGCAGAGGCAGACAGGGCTGGCTCCTGTCTCGCAGAGATGGACACACACAAGCATTTGCAATCTGGGTCTGAACCACTTGGCTTGTGGTGGAAGCTCAGCAAGGCTGGCATGGGGATGAGAACCTGGAGAAAAAATTGAGGTCTGCAATGGTTTGCCCCCACGCATCAGTTACTATTATTTGAAGAAGTCATCTTAGCTTTGTTTACTTAATAGTACTAATAAACTGGTGTTTTTAAACAAAGCAGCTAAGATTGCATCAGAAAAACTAGCCTTAAAATTGAAGTTATTTTACTCAAAATGCTATTTGATAAATCTTAATTCAGTTTCAAAAGTGAACAAAATGCAAAAAACGCAGAAGTGCAAGACTAACTTTCTCCGATCAACTATCAGATTTGTCAACTTCAGAGATAACCCCCTGGAGCTGGAGGTAACACTTCCTCCATGTGAGGACACAGAGGAGGAAGAGGAACGGGAAATGTATGGCATTGAATTCATGCACTTGTACATTCAGGAGTCACTCAAGAAAGCAGGTATGATGTTTTTATTGATTCTAAACCCTCTAGAATACAGCAAGGAAAGGAGGTATAAAGTGGATACATACTAAAAATGAAACATGAAGAATCTTTTTAATAAATACATTTTCCTAAAGTTAAGTTTTCTTCCTTAGCAGATTGCCTTATGGGCATGATCTTATGAAATACGTATCTAGGCACATTTAAATAATCTAAACACAGCTTTCCTGAACTTCAAACTGGAAGCACATTAAGTATTTTAACTTTTTTTAATCCATTTGTTTTTCAGAAAATCTGGAAAGTTGCACTTCTGATCCCTCTCCTACCATAAATTCTAATGAATAAAGAATGTGATTTGGAAGAAAATATCAAATATACTTTTTCCTAACAAAGATTCTACAACACTTGGAATGTGTTGTAAGTGATTCTAAGTGATTTTATTTTCCCATTGACGTGAATGGGTTTTCATAGTTGCAATTCCCAGCAAAACTGGGAAACATAAAACCTTTTCCTGGGTTCAGGAAAGATTTGTTCAGGTTTTCTGTAAGCACAGAGGAATGGGGGACTAGGTTTTTAATCTAGTAAATCTTGCAGTTAGTTTTCTACCAATTCCAAACCAAACTCCTGTCATGTAGTTGGCTCTGATATCCAAGACTGCCTTGGGACAGCTGTCAACAGTACATTCTCCAAGGACACAGCAGACTCTGTATAATACTGTAGAGCAGCCTTATATCCTCTTTGTTGTAAGTACTCAATCCGTCCATGGTTAATCAACCGTTTACAGAGACAACCTATCTCCTTTCTCTCTTCAACAGTAAGTATCCTAGTTTAAAAAAAAAGGGGGGAGGGGGTAATGGGAAAGGAGAGCATGTGTTAGAGGAATGATTTTATTGATTAACTTTAATAGCTAAGTTTAGAAGAATGACTCAAATCCTTAAGTGTATTTCAACCTAAGCAAACATGGCTGTCTAAATATTTTGAAATGCATGTCCATTCCAATTATGTTTTTATAGAAACATTGTACTTTAAAATATGCTTCTATAAAATGAGTCATATAAATGGTTCTATAAAATGAGTCATTTTGAGGATCCCTAACTACTTCACCTAGCACTATAACTTTGCCCTTTTTTTTTTTTCCCCTAGCATATGAGCTCTGGAGAAGGAGAAAAAAAAAAAACCCACACACACACATACCCTTGTAGAGTGTCAGAACCATCCTCTGTTTTACTGTATGTTTGGTCATGTTCTTCTGTGTTGTCAGTTTGATCTCCATGCTCTTCATCATTCAGAGAGGATTTGGTTATGTTTTCTTGCATGCCACAAGTGGCCCAGCTACTCATTCTTTGATAATAATGAAATTCCCCTGGACCAAGTCCTACTGATTTAAAGAACTCTTTGCCTACATAATGTGTCCAGTCACACCTGTGATGGCAACACAGTGCAAGAACGATTCCAGCTATAGTTCTGGAGTTTTCTAATGTGCCCTCTTCATTCCTGTCATTATCGGGACAACTGTTGAAAGCCACCTCTGTTGTATCACTCTTAAAGCGTTTTAGTACAGGCTCTTCATTTTCTGCGTCACTGCTAGTTGTATAACTGTCCACCAAACACCTTAAAGCAAGATCTGGGAAGCAAAAAAAAAAAAAAAAAAACACCTCTAGTGATGAATACTGTGCCATTATTTATACAGGTTGTATAATGGTTGGGAATGTCCTTCCCACAAAGGAGAAAATTGTATACATATGCATATGTATTTCATACCTGTGGCAGCACCACACAAATGCTTCCCAATTCCTACCACGGGTAGGTTTTTTTTCTCTAAAATAGGCACCTTATCTGAAACAAGCAAGCAAATAAAGAAGCCCAGAACTTTTATTCATATCCAAGCAAAAATTTGTAAATATTCTGTTTAAGAGAGATAGAAACTCACTATTAACACCCCCTCCCCCCATAAAAACCACTGAGAATTATCTTCAAAAACAGATTTATGCATACTACACAGAAAGGGACCTTAGCCTGTGATATTCAAAAGCCATAATTAAGCCTGTACACCTCAGAATTTTGCAAGCCAAGAACAAACTTACTTAAACATAAGTGCTGAATATCAACTTGAAGCCTTTCAAACATGGAATCTCTTCTCTTATGTTTTCCATCCACCTGCATAAACAGAGCTGTGATTAAGGAGCACTGGTCACTAAAAAAAAGAAAAATCATCTTGGCTGCAGTTATCAATACTTGCCTTTGTTCCTTTCAAATGCACATTTGCATGTCTTCAACATTAGACACAAAGATTTTTCTTTCCTAATGAAGTTACTTTAGCAAAGAATAGAATGTAGACAATCATGCTTTCAAAACTCTTAATGTTTCAAAGGCTTTATTTGACAAAGGTAGATTATCTGTTCTTTTTGAAGATAAAAATGAAGTGCTCCTGGCTTCACTATAGAATTTCTGAAAAATTGCGTGTGACAGTGTTTGAGCTTACCTTGAATCTTGTGGTTGCTCTTTCCACAAGCAAAAAATGAACATTTTCAGCATTTTGCAAGGCAATGTCAACCCAGTGAGACAGCTTTCCTCGACCAGCTCCAAACTCAACAAAACACCTTCCTGGACCAAGCAAATGTAATTTTTCCAAGTTGCCTAAAATAGAAGCCTATAAACTTCAAATGATTATTTATGAATAAAGGGAATATACCAAGAGAATATGTATGGTAATGTCTTATAGAAAAATGATTATTTCCCCAAACTGCACAATGCATCCTCAAGTTTATTTTTTGATACCACCATGAAAGAGGTGACAGGAGTTAAGGGAAAGATCTTGTCTGTACAGAGGAAAGGGACTAGAAGTTCTAGCTAATCAGCTTCATGCTGCCATTCTTCTACTTTCCACAGAACGCCATTCAAAGTTTGTAGAATGCTTTTTGGGGATTGGGTACAAGTTACAATATTGTTCACTGCAGATTTTTAATGTGGCTATCTAAAATCCATGTACTGCATTGGACATTGTGGAGCATTGCCCACTTCAGAGTCCTGTCTATGCCTGCTGCAGTTATGCATTTTTTAATGCAATACAAAGGAAAACAAGAGGACAAGAAAGAGTACAGAAAAGTCCTCTTTTGAAGGTTTTGGAAGAAAAAAATATAATTTTGCTACAGTATGCCATCTGTCTACCTTAGCATTCCTACTATATAATATGAAAAGACGGCAAATTCAAGCTAATTCTTTTTATGCATCTGTTACACAACAGGAAAGTTTAGTCTCATATCTTACAGAAAAAAGTAAATAAATTCCTGTTAGTTCTTAGTAAATACAATATTTTACCTTTGTAACTCAAATTTACTGTAAAACAACATAAGAATATATAAACAAAAACTCAAAATACCCCCACACAGTTTGTAAGCTTTGGAGGATCATAATAAGTTTTCATTACTAACGGATACTAACAAAGCAGTTATTCACATATTCTACATACCGGCTAGCATTTGAAGAGCTATTTGAAGAGCATATATCATATGCTCTATCTGAAGAGACTAGTATGCACTGTCAACAGTTTGAATTTACTGCTGTATGTCTATGTTTTTTAAAGATATCTCTAGCTATTAGTAAGACGATGATGATACCTGTTGTTTCAGGTGTTTGAAAGCAGATTCCCCATTCTTTGGGTCATTTAAGGCTTCCTGTAAAGCCTGATGAGACAGTATTTGTTCCTGGTGGTGAAGTTCCAAGCCTGTATGCAAATGCAACCATTTCAGTATAGGTTTCCAGTTTCAAGAGTTTTTTGTTTGTTTGTTTTTTGATTTGTATGTGTTCAGACATAAGCCTAATTTGTGGCACCAACAAAACAGACTGTTGGGAGCATTTATCTATTATCAGATGTTTATAGAAGAGCTGCAGTGTTATCACTAGAGATATTTGAGTGGAAAACCAACACAAGAAAAGAAGGCAGGAAATAAGCTCAATGAATGAATCACCAATGGTTTACCATTTGTCCAGTTTTTCACTCTTCTGAATAAAATTTACCTGTGAGGATTGCCTACATCTTGATGCTGATTATTCCAGATGCGTTAAGTGCCAAATGTAGCTATATATCAGCCTTTTCTCCTCAATATTTAACAGCAAAAACAATGAAATATTTTATTAGTTCTACTCAGAACATCTTATTTTCCATATTAAGTTAGCTCACCATCGGTTGCTTTTTTCAACTTGATGATTAAGTCTTCCAGCACTTCTTTAGGCAGAGAAGAGATAGGTCTTTGCTTAAGGAAAAAAAAAAAAAGAATAAACAGAAGAGGTTTGTTTTTTTTTTTTTGGCCACATAATAAACTGCAACAAGTTGAACAAGTTGCACAGGGATCAAGCTTAGAACAAATGCACTCACTTGTATTTCTGGTATTTCTGCCACATCTTTTGTGTCAACATTAATATCTTGCACAAAGTAGACCTTGAAAACAAAGAAAATAAATCTGATTCTGTTAATTTTCATGAAGAAAAAACTTATGTTCTTCTGTGTTTTTACCACAAGGTAAATGGCAGTAAAAATTTACTGCAGAAGCAGAAACTCCAAATAGAATTCCCTTTTCCTGGTGAAAGGTCCGATTCTGCTTTCCTGGGTGCAGTGCCTGCTGTGGCAGTTTGACAGGGCTGATTGTACACCCAGGAATTAGGCCGAGCCCAGTGTCAAGCCGGACTTACCCGTGTCAAACCCTTCAGCAAAGCAGTGCCAGCCTCGCTTACCGGCTTTGGCTTCTCTCTTGCGTTGCACTTTTTTAAATGCTTTTGCAGCTGGTCTTCATACACTGTGCTGAAAGCCAAGTGGGAAGAAACCTGAGTGACGGTTTTTACAAGCCCATTAAAGAGAAAGCGAGTATTTAACCGTACTTACTGCTTGGGATCGAGAGGGCACGGGATCCTTTTCCTGTCGCTTTCCCCCTGGTTTTAAAGCACGAGCATTAGCGCTTCCGCAGAGCCGCCCGCCTGCCCCGCCGCGGCTCCGCCAGCCCCCGCTACCTCCAGCTGCCCGTGCTCCCCGCAGAAGCGGCGCCCGGCGGCCGGCACCATCTTGCAGAACCGCTTCTTCCTCTGCACGAAGTAGGCGCAGCGTCCCGGCTCCGGCGCCGCCATCGCCGCCCCAGCAGCCTCTGCGGCCGCCGGGGCGGCCTCCATCTTGAGGCTCCTCCTCCACGGGAGCCGAGCGCCAAGCTCAAAGCGCAAGATGGCGGCGGAGAGCCTGTTCAACCGGCCGCTGTGCGTGCAAGTGCGGGGCCAGGGCTGTGAGGAGAGGTGAGCGGCTGGCTGCGCGCGCTCCTTCCCTCCTCCCTCTCCTCTCTGGCTGCGAGGGAGCTTCTTTTCCTTTGGGAAGCGGGCAGTGGCGTGGCGGGCTCTTCTTTCCCTCTCCCTCCCTGGGGCTGCACGGGGA